GGAAAAGAGCCCCAAGTCAAGGCATCTGGTGTGGGAAGCAGAATGCAGGCTGCTTTTCACCTCCCACATAGTAGGCCTGGTATATTTATCAAGGGCAGAAAAAAAAAACACCTCCATTGCAGGCAGCACTGATGGCTGAGATGCACACTGTCCTTCTTTATATACCTTATTTTGACATAAATTTCCAGGAACCTGTGTTTGCCATCCCATCCCTTTTTCTCCTCTACTGTCTCTAGTCATGGATATTTTATTTCACAAACTAGAACATCTACTTCTTGGCACAGAGACACTTTTTGCTTTGTGACACCCACCAACCAAACCTGAATTCTAACTTAAACGTTAACCTTAATCCTGATTATAACTGCCACGTTTATGATACTTTTAATAAAAAAAAAAAGAAACTTGATGTTATAATGGTAGCTTTTCTTCCCACAAACCTATATATCTTAGCATAGAGCACCAGCTCAGCCTGTTTGGGGTTTGGCGTGGTGTGTTCCCATGCTTTGTCTTTGATTATATAACAGACAAGTCTTCCAGTTGGCCTCCTTTAGGACACCCTCACCCTCAGACTTCTACTCTCTGCAAATACAATTCTGCCTGAACTCTCTGACTGGATCCATTCCATCATTAGCTGCCATAAGTACAACCTCAATACTCAATCTTTGGTTGTTTCTCAGCTCTTTATTTGTTCATTTAATTGCCTTATTTGAAGTTTCTCTATTTATTCTTTTTAAACTTTCCTTGGCCAGTGCTCACAGAAAAAAAAAAAAAAAAAAAAACCTGTCAAGTAAGAATCCTACACCTAGCAAAGCTATGTATCAAACATTGAGGTTGCTTGAGTTCAGGAGTTCAAGAAGACCTGGGCTACATACTGAGACCTCATCTCTGCTAAAATACAAAATATATATTAGCCAGGCGTGGTGTGTGCACCTATAGTCTCTCAGCTACTTGGGAGGCTGAGGTGAGAGTATTGCTTGAGCTCAGGAGATCTAGGCTACAATGAATTATGATTGCACTCCTGAACTCCAGCCTGAGTGAGAGTGAGGTCCTGTCTGAAACAAAACACCACCAGCACCACCAGCACACCAGCACCACCAATACAGAACCTTAGGGAATATAACAAAATGTAGTTTTGGTCAATTGTTCCTATTTTAAATTTCTGATTTTTCTTTACATTCTAATGTAAAAGAAATGACAGCACTGGTAAGACCTAGGCTGGAGGGGCCTGCCCTAGGCTCACATGTTACTCTGGGTGATCCCTACAAAATCTCCAGAGACATCTGGGTGAGGAATAACCATGTCAGCATCTCAGAAAAGGGTTACACTTTAGACCTTCCTGAAGCAGAGCCTGAAGAGTTGGGATCTAGCAGGAGCACATTGTGCTCTCTTAAGCATTTCCCACCAAATGACTAGATGCAGGGCTGTCTCTAGGACGTGGGTGCTTGGGTACCAGAGTTCTAAGTTCTGTTGGGGTCTGTCACCAAGGAAGTAAGATCACTTTTTCAAAGTTTCATCCTCTCGGCCCCTTGCTTTCTTCCATAAAACCCATCCAAAGGCCCTGCTGGGCTACTGACTGCTCATTATCCCTGCATGTCAACTCTACCTGTCTCTCTCTCGATTTCTCTCATCTTTTACTTCCTCTGTCCAGTGTTTTCTCCCTCATTTTCTGCCTGTGTCTTTCTTTTTCCCTGTCCATATGTATTTCTCTCCTGTCTTTCTACTGCATTCCTCAACTTCAGAAAGCAAGCTCCATGTTATGAGCTGCTCTATGCGGTGGCCTACACAACAGAGAATGAGGGAGTGCCCAGACCCCGGGAGACACTCAGGCTGTCATCTACACTGAATCCGACCAGTACCCACATGAGTGTGCTTGGAAGCCAATCCTCCCACAGCCCAGCTTCAGCTGAGAACACAGCCTTGGCTCATGGAGCCCCAGGTGCAGGCAGCCAGTGAAGCTGTGTCCAGATTCAGGTCCACATAAACCATGGATAGTAGGGATTTGTTGTTAAAGGTGCTGAGTTGGGGACGATGTTGTCTGAGAGAAGCAGATCACTATCTTCTTCCAGGCCCAGAGTCTCCTCCCTCTCCTTTTCTCTTCCTCAGGCTCCTCTAGATCCACCAGCCTCTTTCTCGCATCCTCTGCCAAAGTCACTTCTGCCCTGCATGTCTCCACCAGGAGTGGCATCTCGCCGACACACTGTTCCCAGACTTGTGCAGGGCTGGCCCTCTGGTTTGTCATCCTGGTCATGGCATAAATGTCACCTCAATGAGGTATTTGGGTCCCTCGAATGCTATGGTCCCCCACCTCCCTCCAACATCCTACTTTATTTTAATTATAGGCATTTACTCTTCTTTTACATGCACTTGCTTTAGTGTTTTTGGTCCATATATACTCAGACTGTGGGTCCTTGAGTGGGGGAAAGGGCCACTCTGTCATTCTCAGCACCACTATGCTGGGCCCACCAGGGGCCCTTGGGCACAGGTTTAGTTCTGTGGCAGCGTTGCTGGAGTGAATAGATGAAAAAATGTCTAACATCCTTGTCTGCTTCTGATCACCTCATAATGACATATTTATTTCTTTTAAAAAACACAATTAGAGGCTGGGCGTGGTGGCTCAAGCCTGTAATCCCAGCACTTTGGGAGGCCGAGACGGGCGAATCACGAGGTCAGGAGATCGAGACCATCCTGGCTAACATGGTGAAACCCCGTCTCTACTAAAAAAATACAAAAAACTAGCCAGACGAGGTGGCGGGGTGCCTGTAGTCCCAGCTACTCGGGAGGCTGAGGCAGGGAGAATGGGTGTAAACCCGGGGAGGCGGAGCTTGCAGTGAGCTGAGATCTGGCCACTGCACTCCAGCCTGGACGACAGAGCCAGACTCCATCTCAAAAAAAAAAAAAAAAAAAAAACACAATCATAGTTGATAATAAAACATAAATGGCAAAATAATTATAATTTCTGAAGTTTCCTATTGAGTATTTGTGATAGCTTTTATAATGATCCCTATTAAGATTTAAGTTTTATAACTTTACATTTGATTTTTAATGAAACCTGTTTTATTTAACTCTGAGTTGTGACAATAAATTTTATAGTCTATCTCCAAATTTTTCTATAGTTTAATAGTTTTATTCTTTTTATGAATGATTTTGACCCTGATATTTATTTTAGAAAGAGGAATTCTACAAGTTTTCTACAAGGTCGGGCCAATCACATTTCTCATCCAGGATTTAGCATCTTGATGTTCCAATTAACAGTTTTACAAGTTGATATGTCAAGTAACCCTGTGCCATACGTGCCCTAAATAATTCTAAATTATTTGATGAATATTTGACTCTCTTTAATTTTCAAAAATTGTTAATCATAACTTGTTAGTTCATGTACAACTCTGAACTCATGCACTAGATTTAAATTCTGCAGTTGCTTACACATCTGGCTTATGGTAAAGGTGGACTTTAGATGAAACAAACAATTTGGAAATTTATGACAGTTGGGAAAATAATTTCAGAACAAAGAAGCAAGAAGGAGAAGTCAATGGTGGGGCAAAAGAAGAGAGGGTCAGAATCATAAGGGGCAAGAGGAGAGCTGCACACCAGGAGGAAACCGAAGGACAAGGAGGGGAAGGATTTACTAAAACATATGTCAGTTTTTGTTGTTCTGATTGTAATTTTTTTCATCTTTAGCCATCTTCAGCCACAGAATATTTTAGTGGAGCAATGTTTTATTTAGAATTGTATGTAGAGTCTTCTTCTACCAACTAAAAATACTGTCCATTTGACCTGAGGAATCTTTGTTTTTCTAAAGTGCCTCTCAAAGGAACCATGTTTCTCTAGTTAACATTAATGGAATGTGGCCATTAAAGGTTCAAATAATCCTTGATGAAGTAATGCTATTCAGGAGAAATAACTGTAAGAATTGTAATTAAATTATATATGTACCATAGTTTTATCCTAAAATGAAGAGTATTTAGAGTACAGTTTGTGTGTATCCTGTGCACTAATATCTCAGCCCTAATGCAATGGTTGGCCATATCTTAAAGCAGAAAAAAAAGCCTATGACCTAGTGGGTGTAAAACCAGAGAAAACATGCTCCTATGGATTAAAGATGTTTTTCTAAGATAAAAAAGTGAAAGGAGAATGTAACCAGCTTCACAGTAACTGACAGCAACACTTATCCAAATTGATGCTGATCGACAGAAAACCACTAACCGTCCTCTCTGTGAGGTTGGCTCAAACAATAGGCACAAAGGTCCTATGCCTATGGGTCCTACCCTCAGAGTCTCTATAAAAAAAAACTTTAGGCATTATAAACACATAACAGTAACACAAGGATAGCACAGTGGGATGAAGATGGCCTGATTCTACCAGGAATGTCAACGAAATGGGGTCTACAAAGTCTAGGTACCAAACTCAGAATAAATAGCTGCAGAACTCAATAGAAAGAGAACAGAGTTCAGCTCTTGTGTGACTTACCACCATCATCATGCACTTGACAAGTCAGGAAAAGCAAGGCAAAGGTGACCTTCATGCGCCGGTGCACATAGTCAAGGCTGCCACTATGGCAGGGGAGAGTGCAGAATATATTTCAGTGGAGTCTTCATGTCACCATGAAAATTAGTAGACACCTGGGGTAAGTGTCCTATTCAGTGTACTATTTTAAAAATCTTTTATACCATATGTTTACTGTACCTTTTCTGTTTATATACACAAATGCTGACCATTGTGTTACAATGCCTACAGCATTCAGCATGGTAAGATGCTGTACAGGTTTGTAGTTTAGGAGCAATAGGCTATACGATATAGGTCTAGGTCTGCGATAGGCTATACCACCTAGGTTTGGGTAAGTACATTCTATGAAGTTCACACAACAATCACATTACACAATGGTGCATTTCTCAAGATATATCCCCATCATTAAAAATGCATGATTGTATAAAAAATAAAATGGATGTTGAAAGAGTGAAATTGCTATCTATTGTTTCATAACATGTAACCCCAAAACTTCTTGGCATAAAATCACAATATTTATTACCTAATTGAGTTTCTGTATATGAGAAATTCAAGAACAATTTATCACGGTGGTTGTGCCTCAGGACATCTCATGTGGTTACAGTCAGATTTCAATTGGGGCTGTCATCCAAGGCTTGACCGAAACTAGAAGATCCACCTTCAAGTTTGCTAACATTCATGGCCTGCAAGTTGGTGGGGTTTGTAATTGAGGCCTCAGGTTCTCTCCACATAGATATTTTTGTAGGGCTGCTTGATTGTTCTCACCAAATAGCTGCTGGTTTCTTCCAGAGTGAGTGGCTTAGGAAAAAACAAAGCATAAGTGGCAAAATCTTTTATGACCTAGACTCAGAAGTCACACATGGTCACTTCCATCACATTCCATTCACCAGAAAGGACTTTTCAGCTTGATATACCTTCAAGAAGAGAATTAGGGTCTATGAAAGGACTTCAATAAGTTTGTGAAAAAATGAAAGTAAAACACAAAAATAAAATATATAAGCCTTATTTCTCAACATAAGCTTCATGAAGTTCAAGACACTTTTATAAGCAATAATACCAGCCTTTAGTCTATCCCTACAAAAAGTAAAGTCCTGGAAATTTATCCTTGTCAAGACAGTCTTTTTTATATTATTAACTGAAGAAAAATGGGTCTCCTTTAAAGGTTTTTAAAATCAGAAAAGAAAAAGAAGTTAGTGGGAGCCAAATCAGGAATAAAAGGTGGATGCCTAATAATTTTCCATGGAAACCCTGGCAAAATTGTCTTTTTTTTTTAATGAGGGGAACGAAGAGGAACGTCGTTATGGTGGAGAAGAATTCTCTGGTGAAATTTTCTGGAAATTTTCCTTCTAAAGATTTGGCTAACTTTCCCCAAATACTCTCATAATAGCATGTGTTATTGGGTTTTTTGTTTTTGGCCCTCTAGAAAGCCAACAAGCAAAATGCCTTGAGCATCCTAAGACACTGTTACTATGGGCCTTGTTCCAGACCAGTCACCTTTTGCTGAGACTGGACCACTTTCACCTCTTGGTAGCCATTGTTTTAATTGTGTTTTGTCTTGAAAATTTCATTGGAACAGCTGTGTTTGACTTCCTCACACAATTATTTGAAGAAATGCTTCAGGATCTTGATTACACTTATGTACAATTCCAGTTGAAAGCTCTGCTCTTGTCTGCTGCTGATCTAGAAACAAGAGTTTTCAGATCTACTGAGTGGAAAAATTTTCAAAATTGTGTAAATTTAACCAACTGAGATGGCTATGGTGTTGACTGTTGTTTATACTGTTGTCATTCCTAAAGCAGGGCATGAACAAGATTAATTTCTTTTCTGGTGAATTAATGTGAATTGTCTGCCACTGCAGGCTTTATCTTCAACATCTTATCATCGCTTCTTAAAATGAGTTATTCATCTGGAAACTTGTGAATGTTGGGGGACACTGTCCTCATAAATTGTTTTAAAGAATCAGTGATTTTACTATTCTTTCACCCAAAATTACCATAAATTTGATGTTTATTCTTGCTTTAATTTTAGCAGGATTCATGTTGCTCTAATAGGATCTCTGTTCAAATTGCTGTCTTAGTTTCCTTATTATAATTCCTCAAATTAGATCCTGTTCAGACATGTTATAACAAGTTAGCACAAGTTTATTTAGGTGCAAAATATTTTTGTAATCTATGCATAGTTTTTTCCATGTGCATTTTCCATGAACTTTTTGAAGATCCTTATACTTCTTGAAGAGTTTCAAATAATTTTCGCACATATTTTTAAACTATTACAAGAAAATTATCTATAGAACCGAATTTCAGATTTATCAATTTGTGATAGGTATAATAACCAACGGAAATACCAGATAGGCAGCTTAGCTATTAAAATAGAATTGGAGTTAAATGATTATAGAGATATTCAGTAAAGACCTGCAGGCATTGAAAAGCATTAAAAAATTTAGAAATAACATAACATGATTATATGTACCATTTAAAAGGAGAAAGATCAGAAAAAAAAATAAGAACACGGAGAAGGACCAATAATAGAAAATGTTATGTAAAATGTAAGGATAGTGAAGCCATTGCTGTTCTCCACAAGAGCACTGACATTTCTTTGTCAATAGTATCACTGAAACTCCTGCTTCCATTTCCAAAATCCTGTCTTTGTGAAGCAGGGTTTTTTGGGGTTTTTTTTTTTGTTTTTTGGTTTTTTGTTTTTTGTTTTTTGTTTTTTTGCAGTGACAGCAATCAAAACAAGATTACGAAGTAGACTGGACATAAGCACCACATTTTGGGTGCCACTGTCTCCCATCACCCCCTGATGGAACTGACTAGTTGCAGGAAAACAAGCTCAGGGCTCCCACTGATTCTACATTATGGTGAGTTATGTAATTATTTCATTATATATTATAATGCAATATAATACAATATGAAATAAATGTAATGTACTTGAATCATCCTGAAACCATCCCGCTGCCCAGTCCATGGATAAGTTGTCTTCCATGAAACTAGTCCCTGGTGCCAAAAAGACTGGGGACTACTGCAATATAGAAAGAAAAATATAAAGAGAAAAACACAAAGTCTATAACATCTTGAATAACACATGCACTGACGCTGTACAGAATATACTAATTACATTCATTCATTTAAGTATTAACCAATACCTACAAACCACATACAAATGCCTGGAATTGTTTTAGGAGAACAGTGAATGAAAAAGCAAGAGAGAAAGATAGCAAATTAAAAATACACATGTATGATTATCAAAGTGAGACCCCATCTCTATAAAAAAAATTTACACATGCACGTCAAGTCGCAATGAGTACTAAGAACAAAAATGAAGTATGAGAGAAGAGACAGATAAATTAATTCATGTAGAATGATCAAGGAAGTTTTTCTGCAATTATAGCAGTTACCATCACAGGTTTTAGAATCAGATGGATGCCAGTTTTAATCCTGGCTCTGCATCTTACAGCTGGGTGTCCCATGGACAATTCATTCCACCTTTAAATCTCAGTTTTCTAATTTCAAATTTCTACATGTTTATTATTAGAAATAAAAACACATGAAAAAACATAAAGAATCAAGCACAGAAAAATAATGAGACTCTAATGAATCAAGAATAATGGTTATAAAAATGGAGACAATAAAACTGCCAAACTTATTAGACAATTCTGAAGATTAGAAGAAAATATACATAAAGAATTTAGCATGTCATGTGGCATATAGTTAGCCCATGGTAACTACAATTATTATCCTCGTCTTACTAAGGGAAAATATGTATCATACTTGGGCATTAAAAAAGCTGTGAGACACGGTTTTTCAAATTATGCAAACACATAATTAAAGATTTAATTTTATGTTAAATTAAATAGTTCTACCTTTAGCTTTTTTTTTTTTTTTTTTTTTGAGACGGAGTCTCCCTCTGTCACCTGGGCTGGAGTGCAGTGGCCAGATCTCAGCTCACTGCAAGCCCTGCCTCCCGAGTTTATGCCATTCTCCTGCCTCAGCCTCCGTAGTAGCTGGGACTACAGGCGCCCGCCACCTCCCTGGCTAGTGTTTTGTATTTTTTAGTAGAGACGGGGTTTCACCATGTTAGCCAGGATGGTCTCGATCTCCTGACCTCGTGATCCACCCGTCTCGGCCTCCCAAAGTGCTGGGATTACAGGCTTGAGACACTGCGCCCGGCCTACCTTTAACATTTTTAAGATTCCTTGAAAGCGTATGTCAAAAATCTCATGTAATGCTTTCTGCTTCTTAACCAAAGTTTAGAGGAACTTAACAATCAAACTCTTAAAATGTAGTTATATTAAATAAACTATTCAAAGCAAGAATAGGCACAACAGCTTTAACTTCTTAAAAACTGCTTAAGCATCTCAACTAAAAAAATCATTTGTCTTTCAAATACACAGGAATCTGTTTGGAAAAAATTTGACTAGAAAAAGTTGGAATTCTAAAGTAAAAAGTGCACAAGGCCATAAAATTTTTTCAGTTTTCAGCCGGGTACTTTGGGAGGCCAAGGAGGGAGGATCATGAGGTCAGGAAATGGAGACCATCCTGGCTAACACGGTGAAACCCCGTCTCTACTAAAAAAAAATTAACCGGGCGTGGTGGCGGGCGCCTGTAGTCCCAGCTATTCGGGAGTCTGAGGCAGGAGAATGGCGTGAACCCGGGAGGCGGAGCTTGCAGTGAGCTGAGATCGCGCCACTGCACTCCAGCCTGGGCGACAGAGCCAGACTCCCTCTCAAAAAAAAAAAAAAAAAAAAAAAAAAATTCACAGCTTTCAATTTAGATGTCAACTGGGGAAAAAAAACATTCTCTAAAGTTTGCTTTTATACCATTAAACACTTTTTATTACCAGCAATACAGGCGACTCATTCAGGTTGAATCTTGAAGGTAAACTTTAGCTTAATTTTAAGTTTTGGTTAATTTTTAAGCATTTCTCAATCACCTGCCATGATTTCATCTCAGAAACCAAAATCTCAATTTCTTTTTTTCTTTTTTTTTTTTTTAGACGGAGTCTCACTCTGTCGCCCAGGCTGGAGTGCAGTGGCCGGATCTCAGCTCACTGCAAGCTCCGCCTCCCGGGTTTACGCCATTCTCCTGCCTCAGCCCCCCGAGTAGCTGGGACTACAGGCAGCGCCACCACGCCTGGCTAGTTTTTTGTATTTTTAGTAGAGATGAGGTTTCACCATGTTAGCCAGGATGGTCTTGATCTCCTGACCTCGTGATCCGCCCGCCTCGGCCTCCCAAAGTGCTGGGATTACAGGCTTGAGCCACCGCCCGGCCCAAAATCTCAATTTCATTTAGACTTTTGGAATATTAAAACAGAAGGTTAAATGCTTCAAAATAATTTTCATGTACAGGCTTACAAATGAAAGCCTCTTTTGGCTTTCATGTGGACCACAAATCTCCATGTATTACAAAGTTAATGAGAACATAACAAATGTTAATTCATACATTTAATTCTGAAATAAAAACTTACAACAAATAAAATTGAATAACCTAAATAAAATGAACAAATTCCTAGAAACAAAAAACCTACTAAGACTGAATCAGAAAAGTTGAATAAACCTACTCAGCAAAGAGATTCAGCAAGGAGATTCAGCAAGAAGATGGCATCAGTAATCAAAAACTCAGCAACAAAGAAAAGCCTAGACCAGAGGCCTTCACTGTTGAATTCTACCCAACGTTTAAAGCAAAATTAACAACAGTTTTTCTCAAACTTTTTCAAAACGTTGAAGAGGAGTTAATATTTTCTAACTTATTGTATTAAGCTAGTATTACCCTGACACCAAGCTAGACAAAGGCACCATAAGAAAACTACAAACATCCCTTACAAATGCTGATGCAAAAATCCTCAACAAAATACCAACAATTCAAATTTAGTGGTACTTTAAAAGGATTATACACTATGAATGAATATAATTGACTCCTGAAATAAAAGTATGTTCCAACACGTGAGAATCAGTGTAATATCACATTAACATAAAGAAGAAAAACCTCATGTGATCATCTTAATCAAAGAAAAGCATTTGTCAAAATTTAACCCACATTCATGATAAAATATACTTAATAAACTATAAAAAGGAATAAAACACCTTAACATAATGTTATATTTTAAAAAACACCCAGCTAACACAGCTAACATTATAACGAAAGACTGAAAACTTTTACCCTAAAAACAAAAACAAGGATATCTGCTTTTACTACTTCTATTTAATATAGTACTGAAGGTTCTAGTTAGTTAAAACAATAAGGCAAGTGAAATAATAAAAGATGTTCCAATTTTAAAAAAGTAAAATTTTCTGTTCACAGATTATATAATCTTATATATTAAAAATCTTCTAGTTTCTGTGAGATAAACTATCAGATGCAATAAATAACATTCAGCAAAACTGCAGGATACAAAATCAACACATGAATATCAGTTGTATTTCTACAATAAACTATCTGAAGAAGAAATCAAGACAACAATATTATTTATGATAGCATCAGAATAAAATACTTAGAAACCAACTTAACCAAGGAAATGAAAAACCTGTACAGCAAAAACTATAAACATTGCAAAAAAGTATTAAAGATGACACAAATGAAAAGACATCATGTGTTTATGGAATGGAAGACAAAACCTTGTCAAGATGCCATTGTTATCTATAGTCATCTACAGATTCAATAAAATCACTATAAAAATTCCAATATTTGCAAAAATAGAAAAACCTATTCTAAAATTCAGATGAAATCTCAAAAAACCCCAAGCAGCCAAATCAATCTTAAAAACTAACAAAGTTAGAGGACTAACACCTCCTGGTCTCAAACTTACTGTAATGCTTCAGTGCCCAAAACGATGTTGTACCGGCATAGAGACAGACATAAAGACCAATGCAATAGAAAAAAAGAACCAAAAAGTATGGTCATGATTTTTAACAAGGGAGTCAAAACTATTCAATGGGGAAAGGACAGTATATTTTTTAATGGTGTTAAAAATGAGTATTTACATGGAAAACAATAAAGTTGTACCCTTACTTTACACCGTATAAAAAACTTAATTTAAAATGGACCAAACATCTAATTGTAAGAGCTAAAACTATAAAACCCTTAGAAGAAAATGTAGGAAAAATGTTTCATAACACAGAACCTAACAGTAATTTCTTGGATATGACAGTGAAAGCACAGACAACAACAACAAAAAAATACATAAAAAGAACTTCATTAAAGTGAAAAGGTTTTATGTATCTGAAGATACAATCAATATATTGAAAATAAATTCACAGAGGGAAAGAAAATATTCACACATTATATATTTGATAAGTAATTAATATCCAGGCTATATAAAGACCTCAGAAGCAACAACAACAATCAAATTTAAAGATGAGCAAAGGTTTTAAAATATACATTTCTTTAAAGAGGATATACAAATGACCAGTAAGCACAGTATAAGGTGCTCAGCATCACTAATCATGAGAAAATGTAAATCCAAACCACAATGCATACCAACTGACACATATAAGTGTACCTGCCATCAAGAAAAACCACCACCAGCAAACCAAAACAACAAAGCCCCAGAAAACAGCAAATGCTGGATGTGGAGAAGTCAGGACTCCTGCACACTGCTGGTGGGAAAGTAAGGTGGCACAGCCACTGTGGAAAACAGTAATCACCATATGATCCAGTAACTCCACATCTGGGTATATACCCCAAGAACCGAAAGTGGGAATTTGCACACCCATGTTTATAGCAGCATTCACAAGAGCCAAAGAGTAGAAAGCCCAAATGTCCATCTACAGATGAATGGATAAGCAAATATGATCAATACACACAATGATATATTATTCAGCCTTAAAAAGGAAAGGCATTTTAATACATGCTACAACATAAACTTGAAAAGATTAAAACCAAAAAATGAAAATACTCTATGCTTTCCACTTTTATAACATACCTAGAGCAGTTAAATTCATAGACACAGAGAGTAGGATGTGGTTTCCAGGGGACTGGGGAAAGGGAACAGGGAGCTATTGTTCTGTGGATGCAGAGTTTCACTTGGGATAATAACACAGGTTTGGAATGGATAGTGGTGATAGTTGCACAACAACATATTTCTACTTAATGTACTTAAATTTTCTGTTTACATATTTTACCACAGTAAAAAAATTACCAATATTTAAAAATCTACATGTTTCTTTGAACTGTTTCTTACATCCCTTGTCCATTTTTCAATTTGGCTGCTGGTCTTTTAATAATTTAGGATAGCTATATATATACAACACACACACACATATATATACACATACATACATATATACACATGTACACATATATACACATATACATATACACATATATACATATACACACACACACACACAAACCTAAATTGCTTTTTGTCTGTATGTATGTTGCAGACCTATTTCCCCAGTCTGTTGACTTTTGACTTTGAGGCATTTTTCTCGCCTATAAAGTTTAATTTTTATGGAGTCAAATGCATCAGTCTTATATTCAAACACTTATTTATGGGATGGTGTTTCAGTTTAGGATGATAAGAAGTTGTAGATATGGATAAAGGAGATGGTTGTACAACACATTATATTAGATGCCACTCAACTGTATATTTAAAACATGGTTAAAATGGTAAGTTTTATGTTGTATATATTTTACCACCAAAAAAGGACCAGGCTTAGATGTTTAGATGTTAGGGGTTTGGAGTACCTCTAACATTTATTCCCTTCCAGGACTCTAATTTATAAAACACCCACACAAGGAAAGTAGATACTGACTTCACAAATCTCCTTACAAGTCCCACAGCAGAGGCTGTCTGGGAAAGCAGAGGTGGAAAAAGTCACATAAACTCGAAGTCAATGTGAGACCTCCCATCCCCTATTCTGGAATCAGATGGAGGAAGGCACGCATGCAGGCTGAGCTGGAGGTCAGTGTGCGACCTCCCGTCCCCTGCTCTGGAATCAGATGGAGGAAGGCATGCATGCAGGCTGAGCTGGAGGTCAGTGTGAGACCTCCCATCCCCTACTCTGGAATCAGATGGAGGAAGGCACTCATGCAGGCTGAGCTGGAGAGATGAACTGGCATGGGCAGAACAGTCCTCCCATGACCCTAGACCTTAAGTGCTCCCACATGCTCTCAGGCATGTATCAAGCCAAGAAAGCAGGTTAGGAGTGTAACACAGCTACCTGTGTACAGGGAGCTATGAAATATCTGAGCTGAGCAAGTGATGTACAAGGAGACAGAAGCAGTATGACCTTTACACAGTGACCTGGCTCAAATCATTTCAGGCTCTCATTAACCAGGCGAGCTCTGCTTTCTCTCTGAGGTAGGTAAACTTGAGGGGTAAATGGGAGTTGGGGAAAATAGAAAAGAAAGCCTGGCAGTATTTATTCTAACTCTGTAATAAATAAAAGTAAAACATAAATGCCCTTTCTCAGGGCCCAAATGTTAGGTGAAAAAATGTTTGTCATCTCAGTCATGTGATGTGGACTTTAGCAGAGCAGTACACACACGGTCATTATTCCTTTCCCTCTGCATGTTGTGTGCTGTCTCAGTTTTATAACGTACCTGATCCACTTGTCTCATCATACTAGCTGCAAACAAGGCCACTGAATGTCACACCAGTGGCCAGCATGTCTGTGAAGAGCGGGAAACTGGGGCAGCCAAACAGCTGGCAGAGGCCAGCTAGTATGTCCCCGATGCCCACTCCATAGAGGACTCCACACTTAAAAGAAAAGATAAGCAAGTGTCAGGCTGCCTCACTAGTTATCCCCCCAAAAACAAAAATAAAAGTAACCCCTCCAGGGAACGTGTGTGTACACACAAAAGTACGTGCACACAGCTACATGCAAAGGGGAAAGGCTGGGAAGGAACCAAATCCACCTCTGAACACCAGTTACTTGTGGGAAGGGGCAGGTGAAGCCGCCTGTCAGCATTACTCACCTTTTCAACTGATAAGCTTGCATCAATTTGGCAATTTCTCATAAAAAGGCAATTTTCACTCCTTGGGTGATCACCCAGGTCCAGCAAAACTGAGCCACCAACCACTGCACCACTTCCCATGAGGCCAAATAATAGCTTCCCTCAAAGCTCAGCCCTCCCACCCACCTCCCAGTCCTGTCCCATGCAAGGGGCTACCGGCCTCCTGGAGTCCAGGGTCCAGGCCAAACCCAACCCACAGACCCTGGTGAAACCAGCATGTATCCAAGGCCTTTCCCCAACCGGGCCGTGTGCCCACTGCATAGACAGGCCTGTGCTCACTCCCCTAGACACAGACTCCCTTTTCTTTGGTTGGAATGAGGATGGGGAGATTTGATGGTGTCCTGTACAGGTTGATTTCCTTGGTTGGAATGAGGAATGGGGGGATTCGATGGTGTCCTGTACAGGTTGGTTTCTTCGGTTGGAATGAGGATGGGGAGGTTCGATGGTGTCCTGTACAGTTGGATGTTAATCTGATGAGGTGCTCTTGGAGAAGCTTGCCTGAGTTCGGCGCTTTCTCAGCATGTGGTGCGTGCTGCCCCCTCGAGATTCAGAAGTCCCAGAAGGAAACTGCTTCTGCAACCCCCCTTTACTGGTGAGCAGAGGTCAGGTGATCTGCAGCTGGCCAAGCAGCTGCTAAGTGGCCAACAGGCTGGATCTGCCTCTCACTTTCAGAGGCCCTGCCTGGCTGCTGGGGCTGCCCTGAGACTCCGCCTCCTCCTCTTCCCTTCACAGCTCTCCCAGCTTCTATCCACAGCTGTGCTCCAGGTGGGGAACACCTGTGGGGTGCACCAGGGTGCAAATACTCAGACTCCAGCATGCATAGAAACCCAGCTCCATGCTTTCCATATCCAGCCCAAGTTTGTCTAGAGCTTCAGCAAATCCAAGCCTCCCTGAACTTCCTGCAAGACCCAGACTGAGCCCTACAACCCCCACTACACTGGTTAGCTGCCAGTCCCAGCCCCTGCTCCCTCCTGGGCCCCTGTCTGTACAGTTCTGAAGTCCTACAAGAATGTTGAGAACCTAAGCTGACTCTCACCCAAAAAGGTAAACAACCAGGGCCTCCAGGGGTAGAGAACATACCCAGACAGTTCTGCTGCCTGTAGGCTTGATGTCCTTCCCCTACAACATGTCATGCTTGCCAGGCTGGAAGAGGGGCTCCAGAAACTTGGGAAACCTGGGCCTGTAGCTGGCATATGGAAAAGAGGCCTGGAAAAGCACAATCCTGTCCATGAAGCACCCAGATGGAACCAGGTAATTGGAAAACACATGGGCACTAAGCCTGACCCTCACTCAGACCCAGGTGGGAACTGCAGCAGTGACTTGCCCCCTCTGCCACTCTGGCTGTACCACTACAGAGGGGGGAGCATCTAGCCCCACACGTGAGTGGAGACACTAGGTGTAGGCAGGTTCCAGTGGTTGCTGCAGCTGAACCTTCCCAACCAGGTCCATGCAAGGCCATCTCAGATGGGTGTGCACCTGGTTGGGCAAGACACCCCTCAGACAGTGAGAGCCACTGAGCTGGGTTGTCACAGAAGGCTCCTTTTCCTGCTCCGAGAACAGTTGGGGGAGTATGAGGGACCTCTCCCCGCTCCCAGGAGCCACTTCTTTCGAGATGAGGCACTCTCCTGCCTGCCTGTTCCCGTTTGGCTGCAATAGACCATTGCCAACATTCAGAGAACAAAAAGGGGCCTCACCTGTTTCCCCGACACGTCAAAGGCAGGTGGGTATGTCCAGGGGACCTGGGTAGAACCTATACCTCGGCCCACCCCCAGGCTATGCTGGCTTCATCTTATCTGCTGATGGGGGTGGGGGTGGGAATTACCAAGAGACCATCACACAGGCCATGGACAAGTTCTACAAGAGCCAGGTAGAAGAGCACTGTCCGTGCATGCTGCCCGGCCCAGCTCACACACACACATCTCTTATTTGACAGCTTCCCCAAAGCAGGCTTTGAAGTCCAGGCTCCCCGAGAAGCCTGGGGAGGAGACTCTGCCAGGCTAAAGGGCCTATTCCCAAAGGTGCCACCCTCACCAGTCTCATCCTGACAATCTTGGGTTATTTTTGCCCTGAAGTTTTGGAGAGGGGGACAGGGAGACACAGACAGTACGCATTAGCCACCTTTCCAGAGAGCATCAGGCCTCCAGACTGGGCAGGTCTGACCTCCACTCGGGCGTTTTCCTCACTGGTTGCCAGTTGGGGGAAGCAGCATTGTGAGCACCTGCCCGTCTCCCCAGGTCCTGTTCAGAAACCCCATCTGTGCCTCTGGAGAGGCTGCCCTGAGCACACAGGCCCAGCAACCACCATCTATGGCCCCCAGGACCTAATCCCCTTCTGCATAGGGGTCAGTGCATGTGAGTATACACTGGGCTTGATTTCTGCCCACTAGTCCCTGCCAGATATCCCATACCCACCTCAAGAGAATGAGGTCACACAAACACACCCAGGCCGTCATGGTGATGGAGCAGCTGGGGTCCTACTTGCCCACCCTCCATTGCTGGTTCAGAGCCTGACCACATGCCTATCCTGAGATGGGACTTTGGGGACATTGCCCACCAGGGTCACTGACCACTTTGAGTTCAAGAAACAGAGGGGGGAGCTGGTCCCCTAGAAGTCTGGAACATGGGATAAGCCAAGGCTTGCCTTTCAGAACAGGTTTCCACCACGTAGCCGCCAAGGCCCAGGGCATCCCTAAGTTCAGGTGAAGCCTGCTGCCATGTCCACAGCCCATGCCGACCCCTCCTGGAGCCACTGGAATGCTTGTTCCTGGGCACTGACAAACCCAGACAGCTTCAGCCTTGCAGGACAACCATGCGCACCTGGCAGCCGTAGCCAGAGGGCCCATAAAAAGAAGGTGGAGGTGAAACCAGATGCTATGAGGATACTTTATTAGGCAAAATCATATACTATAAAAATGCTTTAAAATGCAGGAGGAGGAGAGGTGAAGACACGAACAAGTGCGTAGTGACACATGGCAGTCAGAACACAGTAAAGAATCCACACTGCTTCCCCCCTTTACCTAGAAAAGGAAAGTTCTAGGCCTCCTCCTCAGCATACTCCTCAAACTCCTCCTCCTGGGCGGTGGCATCCTGATACTGTTGATACTCAGTATCCACAGCCCCAACTCAGCTCCCTGCAGGGAGTTTACGTCAGTAGCTCTTCACCTTGAAGAGGCACCTGGGCCTTCCTCCCAAAGCCCGTTTAGGAGGCAGATGCAGCCACTCCACTCGGAGGATAGGAGGGTGTTCTGGGGCCCTGACTCCACAATTCCCACCGCGATGACCTTGGGGCACTCCTAGATTTGAGCGGCCAAAGAACCTCACCCCAGTCCTCCCCCACAGCTCACCGAAGATGAAGTTGTCCGGTCTGAAGATCTGCCGGAAGGCCTGAGCGCACAGAGTCCATGATGCCTGGCTCCAAATCCACCAGCACAGGGCGGGGCACATACCTGCCACCAGAGTGGGGCGGGAGGGCATGAGCGAGGGGAGGACCACGTTCCCAGGAGGGCGGTGGGGGAAGGACGGGGCTCTCACCGCAGGCCTCTTTGTAGTATACTTCCATGCGCTCCAGCTGCAGACGGCTGTCCCCACGGCAGGTGCCAGCGGAGTCGATGGCATGTTCATCAGAGATCACCTCCCAGAACTGCAAGAGAGGGGAGGGGCCAGACAGGCCAGGGCTAAGTCACGGAGCCCCAGCCCCTCTCCCACCCCCATCCTCACCCCCATCCCTAGGCCGCTGTGTCCCTAGGGTCCACCCCAGCGGCCTCACCAGCCACCCAGTCCCACCACGTCCCCAGCAGGGAGCCCAGGGGCCGCAATGCAGAGGACCGCCCCCGCCCCAACCACTGCCAACATCTTCCCTGGCCACCCGGCATGCCCGAGCTGAGCCCTCAGAGCCCCGGCTGCCAACCATGGCACCAATCTGGTTCCCGCACTGCTCGGCCTGCGTGAGCACAATCTCTCTCATGGCTAAGGCGGGATCAGGGTGGCAGGAGAAACGCGAGGAGGAAGATCAGACAAACAGTGACTCAGCCCGCCCTCCGCCAACGCTGAAACAGCCCCGCGCCCACCTCCCCCAGCCTCGGATTCGGCTCCCAGAATAAGCAACGGCTTTACTTCCACACAGGTGTACCCACTTGTGAACCCCTTGGCGTTGAACGTCTGTTGGAGAGCTCAGGTGTCCCTGCTGTGGTCCTTTCCACGCTGGGGAAAGCTGATCAGCTGGAGAACTTCCTCCCACGTCTTTACTAAGACTCAATTCCTAGCTGACCTGAAACTGAATTTTCCTCCATGTGGGAGGGGAGGACGCCAGTTTCCACACTTACAGAGTGCCTTTGCACCTGTCCTAGATTGATGACATATTTCTGTAATTGATGAGTCCTTCCTCTATTAGGAGATCTGTGGTTAGGAAAGGCCTTCCGTCTGTTAACAGGACTTCATTATAAGTTTTACTCTGGAGCAGTTCAAATCCACAGTAAGCTATCGGTGTTAGAGATAGACCTCTGATTTAACTACAGTCTTCTTTTTTTTTTTTTTTATTATTATACTTTAAGTTCTAGGGTACATGTGCATAATCTGCAGGTTTGTTACATATGTATACTTGTGCCACGTTGGTGTGCTGCACCCATCGACTCGTCAGCACCCATCAACTCGTCATTTACATCAGGTATAACTCCCAATGCAATCCCTTCCCCCTCCCCCCTCCCCATGATAGGCCCCGTGTGTGATTTCCCCTTCCCCGAGTCCAAGTGATCTCATTGTTTAGTTCCCACCTATGAGTGAGAACATGCGGTGTTTGGTTTTCTGTTCTTGCGATAGTTTGCTGAGAATGATGGTTTCCAGCTGCATCTATGTCCCTACAAAGGACACAAACTCATCCTTGTTAATGGCTGCATAGTATTCCATGGTGTATATGTGCTACATTTTCTTAATCCAGTCTGTCACTGATGGACATTTGGGTTGATTCCAAGTTTTTGCTATTGTGAATAGTGCCGCAATGAACATACGTGTGCATGGTCTTTATAGCAGCATGATTTATAATCCTTTGGGTATATACCCAGTAATGGGATGACTGGGTCATATGGTACTTCTAGTTCTAGATCCTTGAGGAATCGCCATACTGTTTTCCATAATGGTTGAACTAGTTTACAGTCCCACCAACAGTGTAACAGTGTTCTATTCTCCACATCCTCTCCAGCACCTGTTGTTTCCTGACTTTTACATGATTGTCATTCTAACTGGTGTGAGATGGTATCTCATTGTGGTTTTGATTTGCATTTCTGATGGCCAGTTGATGTCAAGCATTTTTTCATGTGTCTGTAGGCTGTATGCATGTCTTCTTTTCAGAAATGTCTGTTCATATCCTTGGCCTACTTTTTATGGGTTGTTTTTTTCTTGTAAATTTGAGTTCTTTGTAGGTTCTGGATATTAGCCCTTTGTCAGATGGTAGATTGCAAAATTTTCTCCCATTCTGTAGGTTGCCTGTTCACTCTGATGGTAGTTCTTTTGCTGTGCAGAAGCTCTTTAGTTTAATTAGATCCCATTTGTCAATTTGGCTTTTGTTGCTGTTGCTTTGGGTGTTTTAGACATGAAGTCCTTGCCCATGCCTATGTCCTGAATGGTATTACTAGGTTTTCTTCTAGGTTTTATGGTATTAGGTCTAACACTTAAGTCTCTAATCCATCTTGAATTAATTTTCGTATAAGGAGTAAGGAAAGGATCCAGTTTCAGCTTTTTACTTACGGCTAGCCAATTTCCCAGCACCATTTATTAAATAGGGAATCCTTCTCCCATTTCTTGTTTTCTCAGGTTTGTCAAAGATCAGATGGCTGTAGATGTGTGGTATTATTTCTGAGGGCTCTGTTCTGTTCCCACTGGTCTATATCTTTGTTTTGGGTACCAGTACCATACTGTTTTGGTTACTGTAGCCTTGTAGTATAATTTGAAGTCAGTAGCGTGATGCCTCCAGCTTTGTTCTTTTGACTTAGGATTGTCTTGGCAATGTGGGCTCTTTTTGGTTCCATATGAACTTTAAAGCAGTTTTTTCCAATTCTGTGAAGAAACTCATTGGTAGCTGATGGGATGCATTGAATCTGTAAATTACCTTGGCAGTATGGCCATTTTCACGATATGGGATTCTTCCTATCCATGAGCATGTATGTTCTCTATTTGTTTGTGTCTTCTTTATTTCACTGCGTAGTGGTTTGTAGTTCTCCTTGAAGAGGTCCTTTACATCCCTTGTAAGTTGGATTCCTAGAATATTTTATTCTCTTTGAAGCAATTGTGAATGGAAGTTCATTCATGATTTGACTCTCTGTTTGTCTGTTATGGTATATAAGAATGCTTGTGATTTTTGCACATTAATTTGTATCCTGAGACTTTGCTGAAGTGCTACAGCTTAAGGAGATTTTGGGCTGAGATGATGGGGTTTTCTAAAATATACAATCATGTCATCTGCAAACAGGGGACAAATTTGACTTCTTTTCCTAATGAATACCCTGATTTCTTCTCTTGCCTGATTGCCCTAGCCAGAACTTCCAACACCTATGTTGAATAGGAGTGGTGAGAGAGGGCATCCCTGTTGTGCCAGTTTTCAAAGGGAATGCTTCCAGTTTTTGCCCATTCAGTATGATTGGCTGGTGGGTTTGTCATAAATAGCTCTTATTATTTTGAGATGCGTTCCATCAATACCGAATTATGAGAGTTTTCAGCATGAACGGCTGTTGAATTTGTCAAAGGCCTTTTCTGCATCTATTGAGATAATCATGTGGTTTTGTCTTGGTTCTGTTTATATGCTGGATTATGTTATTGATTTGCGTATGTTGAACCAGCCTTGGCATCCCAGGGATGAAGCCACATGATCATGGTGGATAAGCTTTTTGATGTGCTGCTGGTTCGGTTTGCCGTATTTTTATTGAGGATTTTTGCATCGATGTTCATACAGGGATATTGGGTCTAAAATCCTCTTTTTTTGTGTCTCTGCCAGGCTTTGGTATCAGGATGATGTTGGCCTCATAAAATGAGTTAGGGAGCATTCCCTCTTTTTCTATTGGTTGGCTAGAGTCTACTTTAGAGTGGGATTAGCCCTTTCACCTTTCCAGAGGACCACAGTCTCCATACAGAGTGAAGGTAATATTGGATTCTTCAAGCTAAGGATAGGTGTTGGGATATTCCTGCCGTGAAAGATGGGCCATTGTCCACTGTGCAGGCTTTTAGATGAGCCAAACTGAGGAGAACACCTGAGCTTCACCAGAACAACATGCAGTTGGCCTCTTATCAGCTGGCCAAAGTTGAATGTTTGCCCTCTCTGGGAAGTGACAGATGATAATAGGGACACTATATAGGTATTACGTACCCCTTTCTATGTCTGAATTAGCCGTATGCAAGGAAAAACTAAAACAGTTTTCAGAGGTTCCAGGAAAATTCATAGACAAAATTTGAGAGGCTAACCTTGATGTATGATCTGACCAGGCAAGATTTGCATATATTTGTGCTCACCTGCTGCGTGGTAGATAAGCAGTGTATTATGGGAGTGGCTAGAGCACATGCTAACAGGGGTGGCAGCCTGCAACCAGGGACATGACACCTATCAAGTGGGGTTTCACTCTGTTGCCAGGATGGTCTCAAACCCCTGACAACAAGTGATCTGCCCACCTTGGCCTCCCAAATTGCTGGGATTACAGGCATGAGCCACCGCTCCCAGGCACAATGAGGTTTTTAAATAATTCTAACTGATTTCTTGCTGTTGAGCAGGGAGCTGAGCAAGTTGAACAGATCATAGGCCTAAAGGAGAAGACGGAAGACAAACTCTGGAACACACGTGATTAATTACAATGGAAACCAAATCAATTTAATAAGCTGTACCTCTTAGTTTCAAGATGTTTCCCCTCATTTTGAAATATGGTGTTATTCCATGGAAAAGAAAACTAGTGTTTATCTCCAGAGTAAAGATCAGGGCTCCCTGCAGGGATTGATTGACTGAGAGCTATAGCTCAGGATTAAAAATCCTTCTTTTTTCCACTTATAAATTAAAATTAATTTCTAAGCCCCTATTGACTAAATGGACCCCTCTTCTTGGATAAGGACATTTCAAAGTTAACCTGAAAAGCTAGTTCAAGCCATGGGTCACACATGCCTCATTATACTCTCCTCCCTTTTGGTTTTAATTTTAATTTTATTTTTTGTGGGTACATAGTTGGTGTATATATTTATGGGGGTACAAGACATACTTTGATACAGGCATGCAATGAGTAATACGTAATTTAAACGGGGGTATCCATCCCCTCAAGCATTTATAGCTTAACAATCCAATTATACTATTTTAGTTTTATAAAATATATAATTATTTTTGACTATAATCACCCTGTTATGCTATCAAATACTGTCT